CATTACGAAACATGGTTCAGTATTGTAATGTGTACAGAGATGCATACTACAACGTGATAATTTAAGTAACTGTAAGCCTATATTATATGGATGCATGACTTTGTTATTCGTTATTGAGTTTTGCATGTTTCTCTTCCAGTTGTGTGGGGCGGAATTACACCACACAGTTCTTTTGCTTTTGATCGTCAAAATTTCACCATGAGCATCAGTACATTCTTGACGGGTACATGTAGAGGAAGCGTTGCTTTCTTCCAAAACTTTTCTGTTAATTTTTCTCTTTGGGAAACAGCGGTTTGGGATGACGAATACCAGTGGTCCCGTGGTGGCGTCCAGGTACTGACAGTACTGCCGGGATGAAATGCTGCAAGTGCCCAAGGGATACTTTATCGATTACGTTTCATGCTGTATGTTACGGAGTTTTATCTTCGCTTGAAGTTTCCTTATCATTAATCTGGTTTAATTAAGTGTTTAACTATGATTTCTAACGGATACGGAGACATAACTGCAGATTATAAGGGGGCATCCATAAATTACGTACGCAGAAAACCACGGTTTTTTCACCCCTCCCTCCCCCTTCGTAGCGGTCCGTCACGTTTGCTTGACCCCTCCCCCCTGGTCCGCTCAATCGTAACACATGGAGCTGCCCACCACCTCCCCCCTGGGTTCGCCGGGGCCGTCACAGCTTGTCACGTTTTTTTGGACCTGTCCTCCCTGGTTCGCTGCGTACGTAATTTATGGATCCCCCTAAGTGTGAATTTGAGAGTACAGATACATACTATGATCTGTTTATCCAGTTTATGGTACACTGCAGTCCCGGACACGTGGCCACCGGAATATCGCGCAAACCGCACCCGGTCATTTGGGAGTGGAATTTTCGCCGCAATTAAATTCGCCGCACGACTTTACGCCGCAAAAACATTTCATCGCAGGACATTTGGACGTTGGGACACTTCGGTTAGGGACAATTAGCGCTGAGACATTTTGACTTTGCGACATTTTGACGCAAGACGTCTGGACACTTCGCCGCAAAAGCATTCGACACACTTAATTTTCGCAGGTTTTCCGGGTTTCTTGGAAGATTTTCTTAGGTCTTTTAGGCTTCTTAGGTTGGTCTAAATTATTTTTAGGTTATTCTTAGACTATTCTTAGGTCTTTTAGGATATTCTCAGGTTATGCTTAAGTTGTTCTTAGGTTTCGATCTTAGGGTTTTCTTATGGCTTCGGATTTTCTTAGTTAGTTTTGTTTTGAGTTCATGAATGTTTTTCTTAGGAATTCCTGCCAGTTTCAACAAACCTAATAAAAAATTTATCTGCTAAAATGGACTTTTCGTTGAAACATCCCTGCGTCGAAATATCTCGGCGTCGAAATGGCCTGGCGACGAAATGTCTCCCGTCGTAATCTCCTGCCTGTTAAATATCCCGCGTCGAAGCGTCGCAAGGCGAGATAACCTTGCGGCGAAATTTTTGCGACCAAAAGTCCTGCGACGAGTTGTCGGCGGCGAAATGCCAAATTTTAACGAAATGTCGGCAAAATGCCGAATGTCGCGGTGCCGAATTTAAACTCTAACTGTTTATGCAGCATTTCAAATAAACTTATAGCTGTTTCACAGATGAACGGTCACCAATACACCTATGGTTGTGCAGCAGTTTTCCTCAAATTTTTTTGGTAACGCTACTAGTGTGGGCTTATTAATGTATTATCAGTGTGCTGTAAATCTTGATCGGCCAACAATCCACGATGATTGAACACAGGTTTTAGTTAGTCTATACCAGTATTATTCTTATCTGCAGATACGGGGCTCTAACAGCGGTGTCGCCGCCCTGAGTACAGATCGACGGTGGATATCCCTCCTATATGACAAGGGAAAACTGCATCCCATATCCTATACCCCGGGACCATCATGCTCAGTATACATAGAAGCATTCAAAACCAAATGCGAGCGGACAGCCCTAGCAATAACGGGTCACAGATTACTGTTTTCCAGGAGCCGCTGACCTTGACGACAAGGACTTCGCATTGTCGTCGATGTAGCACTTTATAAAATATTAATTATGCCCCCTAATGCTGATGTTCTACGATAAGGCACAACATGTCAAGCTCTGTTACTCTCAGACAGCTCGCTAAGAAACGCTAGCTGAACGTGTAACTACTGCTAGGTGAGCGGATGGGCCTGGAAATCTCTGGTATATTAACTGGCCAATGGAATGGAAGCTTTTGCTAAATTTTCGGTTGTTTTCAAACAACGCCAGGCAGAACAACGCCGTATTCTGTTGTTAAAAATGCTATTGTTCCTTTTAAATATTTAACAACAGGAAATATTTGGTCAAATTTTCGGGTGATTAACATGATTTTGCATGCTGGGGGAGTCGGTTCTAAAAGGTTATGGCGTTACCATATTAAAATAGACAGCTAGCTGATTAAGAGGCAGCCTCCTCTCTATAGGATCATTCGGTAAACTTTTTTAATACAATTTGTATGCTCTGTCGATAGCCCAGTGGTAGCCATATCGACCTTAGGCTGCGGTAGCGCGGGTTTGACTACAGTCTGTACTGCGATCGGCAAATTTTTCAGAGTTTCTATGCGAACTTAGTCCAGTCAAAGGTCCCTGCCACAGCTGTTAAATCTCTTGCTCAGTAAAGCGAAAACTGTAAAGTGTAAACCCTAATCCGTTGTTTGAACGCCTGACGCGTTTTGCGGTCTATCTTCCAAAAATTGATCTCCTGTTTAGCAGGATGCTCTGCAAACAAGGCGCTTTCTAAAAGGCTGAAGCCATTGATAGAGTGTACATATCGATACATAGGGGGAAAATGTAGGCGTGTTCCACCGCTCGATCCCCTGTACTACCGCCGTCACTCGCTTGGAGTGTGACATTATGGCTGAACATGGCGGCCTAGTTTTTCTCCCTATACAAGTCCATTTTGAGTATCCACGTAAACAACTCCAGTTTAAACCGAATGACTTTTTCCATCAGTCACGACGGACCGGAATCACGGAGCATAAAAAATTGCCGAAGTTTTCCTTCCTTTCAAAGCATTCCTCGTGTACAGAGAATTTCTTTGGTTCAAGTAATCTACATATATGTAACAAGCTGTGAAAACGCTTCTCAGTTCCGTTATGAAATTTTAGGGAAATCCCTGTGTAATTGTAGGTCAAAGACAGAGACTGTCTTTGACCTCGGGTGAGCTTACAATTAGACGAACCGGCGACGCATGTGCCGCTCATTTGTCATCAATGGCGTCCCAAAGTGGGGTGTGCACGAACAGTGATTTTTTTAATTTCGCGAAAATATAGCCTTATGAAACATTAGCCGAAATTTCCTGCTATCCGCGTGCTTGGTATTTTCGCTCGAAAAGCCCTGTTAGGTGTTTGCGATGGATCGTCCGTTTGAAAGCCAGTTCAGATTTCGTGTTCCGTTCAAGGCTACGCGGCTGTTTTATTTCCTTTATTGCTAGAACACGATGAAACATGGTGGCTACGATATGGTGATCGCGGTGCATTCAATCACCTCTTCAGTCACTGGATGACCAAGCCGAAATCGAACGGCTGTTCTACCTCCATTAACGAGTAATAATGTGGCAGGTACTTGTACTAGTACTTATGTTGCTAAAAGTGCGCTCGCTTATTGCTGCTCTACAGTACAGATACGGTACCCTTAATTATGTAGTGACAGACATACCCACCCGTTTATGCATGGCGCTTTTGGAAAAGAAACCACAGATCATAGTCCAGAGTAACCACATTTATGATGGTTTTAGTGATGAGTTCGCTTGGGGAATCGCCACTTAAGACAGTGTGATTCAGCGAGAACAGAGCTTTAAGACCTGTCCCTTAAAGATCTCAAAGACCGGGTGTCATCACACTCGTACCATCGGAGCGAGGTAAACCTTAGCGGTAGATGTTAGTAGATGTGTCGATACATTCGCGGTCTCATTAGATACATCAGTCGCACTACCGTGAAAGATGAAGCCGCGCTGAAAGGTAACGAAACACAGTTCGTTGCTGCCAAGATACGATGCATCCCGGCGGCGTTCGAAATCTCCGGACCACGGAGGAGACGGCACTAAGAAACTTGTGGACAAGATTGAAGCTGCCTAATTTCTGCTACCGGCCAGAAACGCGCCAGAGGGTTTGGCGACAGCGCTTGTCTATACTACGCTTGTTCACTTGTCTATGTCTTGTTTGTCTTGTCGTATTAGCGATATGCGTAATGGGAATGCGATATGCGTATGGGCACGATTCCCTGAGCAGCACAGTACTGAGGAAATGCTGTTGTTGTGATTTTGGAGTATCTGTTGCGTAATGGTGGTTAAATTGTGGCTTTTTTTGTTATTTTAAACAACGAAAAGTCTGATTTATCGAAGCAAACTCCAACATTCAATGAAGCAGGGCATGCTTCATTGGCGTACTGTTTCATCGGCGATATGGCAATCAAACCACTGGACGACAATACAACATCAGACAATCCAGTTTCCATGCTGTTTCAGTTACCAATATGTCTGCCATTCTTTGACATACGGTACATAGGCGCAGTCCTCAGAGTAGTGTGAGCACCCTGGCCGCTTGAAAAGGCTCCTACAATTTATCGCATTTAGGCCATTGCCGCATGCGATGCCGTACGATGCTGTCGCGGAATCTGAAGCAATGTTAGCACTATGGCAGACTTGGCAGCACTGCCTCCAATCATTGCTTCGCATGGATTTTTGGTCTTAATATGGCTTGTTTTATAGTACAGTTGTATGTACAGGCGCTTTGTAACGGAGGCTTTCATTTCGCATTCCAGTTGATAGTCACCGCTATGATTGGAAAGTCACAAACAACGGTCATGTTCACGATTTTTGTGCGTGTTTCATATAAAAATGCCGAAAATTTCTATGGCCGTTGAGAAGAGACACCTCAGTTTGCCTTTGGGTACGATAGCACACAGTTAATGATATTTCTTGAAATATTAGATGCGTGCTTCACGCGGCAACCATTCAGTTTACAGATGTCAAGCACATTTTTTCCTGCGTTTTTTTATCTACGTTCTGCGTTTACATCATCTGAGCCTTTTTTGACCTGGTTTGCTACTGAGTAGAGTTTGTAATTAACAATCCCTCGTTCGCATGTGATTTTCACAGTCTGTAATCTATTTGATTTTTTTCGTATTACCTAAGATAACATTTCCGCATCCCAGTGGAAAATAAGGTTGTCATTTCAATTGGTGAAATCCGTGAGAACAGGGTGTACTGTGGATTGCAAAGGCAGAAATGTGTCCATTCTCCATAATGATTGTTACCAGTGAAGTTACCACTGTTTTAGGGCCATGCCAGATTGCAGGTAAAAAGTAAGAAAATCGACAGCACTGCACGTGCTGCTATCAAATACCCCAAGGCATTGTAAAATCCATTGCGGCGCAGAATATGTTGCATTTAGCTGTGGCATCGAAAGCAGTCTATCGTTATATCGCTACCAAGGTGCAAAATATGCATATACAGATACTTGTAATTTATGTGCAGCATGCATGTGTATTGTATAGTACATACACGTTGCGCAGACTGTGGTGCAAGCATTACCTCAGTCTTTTCGTGCGCAATGGGACAGTAAAGGTCACCATATCATACATATTCTATCGTCCGGTGAGATCTGTGGAGCGTACGAACTGCATAGTATCAGAAACTTCATACCATAATTATATAATCATTAAAATTAACAATATGTACTCGTGCAAGTTGGTCCTCTTATTTTCCATCGGATCCAAACAGCGATAAATAAAAATTCGCAGGTAGCGCCAAACTGCATACCACGGCGCGCCACGCCACACCATTTAGGCTCTACATACATGTTTGTCATGGCTGCTGTGTGCCAAATATTGGTCTGAAATTATAAATTATCGCTATAAATTATGAAAAATTAACTTTACGCTTTTATCCTAAACCTTTAGAACAGGGAATTTTTCATTGCGGCAGAAGTCGTGTAGTGGCAGTTCGTTCACAGCGCAGTTTCGCGCTAAATATGTGCTAGCTGTACCTTTACGATAAAAATTACGGATTTGTTTGTACTATCTGTATGAGTCCATTTTAAAAGTAACTTGTCCGGCACTACACAAGATTATGTAATTCATGTTTACTTACAAGTTACAATCTAAACAAATATTTCTTGGGAACTGAAAATTTATTTCTACTTGTACAAGCAAATGCCCTTTAAAAACTTAGACTCAAATATGAGACTTAACTTAGACTTACTTTCTTTACTAACTTCTGGAAAGTTTTTAAAACGATGTTACCCTAATTTTAATTTTAGAAAATGCAGATTTACTCCTACCTTAAAAAATGATAAAACTTCAAAAAGATCTTTTTTTTCGTGTGCGTACAAAACTTGCTCGACGATATCTCTAAGCAAAATTAATGTTTAAACGTACCGGTATGCCCAGTAGCAAAACAGCGCTCTGCCCAACGAGTGTGCAATCCTGAGTATGAGCGTGTACTGTATAGTAAAATTAAAGTTAAACAGTATAATATGTGTACTTTATAATTTATTATGTTGTATTTACGGAATTTCTGCCAGAATTTCCGTGTATACAACATAATACAAGCATACAAGTAGAAGTATACAAAGTACGTACATCAGCAATCGTGACTGGTGGCCAAAGAGCTTTACAGCTATAGGGTCTTTCCTTAGCAAACTTCCGGCTTCTTCAGGTTTTACCAAATTTTCCGGCAAACTTTTCAGGTTTCTTCAGGTTTTACTAAGCTGTTTACGGTGAGCTAAAAATTGTCAGTGGCGCCATCTGACGCCTGACCTACTGGTACTGTTTATGATCGCCTTCGGTAGCACTTCAACCGCTATTGGCTAATAAATTTTGGCGCTCAAACGGTTTTCATGCCACTGTACCGGTATACGAATCGTTTGACTACATAATGTCAAAAACCAAAGAAAAATAGTGTCTCGAAGTGCGCGAAAGTAAAAGCTTCGCGGATATCCACGAATTCACCATCATGTGCGGGTCACTTCCCTTACGTTTCCTTTACGATACGAAGAGAGCTGGGACAGAGCATTTTTCCTTGGCTGTCCTCGAAACCAACTGGAGATAAAACTCACACAAACCTGGGACAGAGCATTTTTCCTTGGCTGTCCTCGAAACCAACTGGAGATAAAACTCACACAAACAATGTACCTTAAGAAGTATTTATAAATTTGGTATGATTAACTTGCTCAATTGAAATACCTGGCTTTTCTTGTATTCAAAGGCGGCGGATTTACTATTAGTATTATAGCGCTAGCTCGGCTTCATGGGTCGGCATTAAGTGTTTTCGACTTGTTAAAGGTCAAAATTTCCGTCGACAAAGTGGCGGATTACGAAAACATACATTCATATGTATCTGCTTTAAATTAGGTCTTCACCATCAATTGCAATTACCGGAATGATGATAATCAGTTAACATAACGATAACAAAATTATCCGTAGATGAAATCCTGGAACTGCCCAAAAAGGACTACGTAATGAAAAAAAAGGCAAGGAAACAAATGCCAAAAGAAGACGCGATTCCGGGTAGACTGGCATGGGTAAGTTGTAGTTGTTCAATGATAGCAACCTTTTTTTTCACCAAATTTGTGTTCCAGCGTCCTACGCTGCTGTTACAGTATTTACCACCAGTTGTCATCTTCCAATACCTGTCGTCATATCCCATCCGCGTTCTGTCTTCCACCGCAACAAAACAAATTGCGCAGCCAGTTGCGGATCCCATAAGCTCTTGGGTTGAGCAAGTGTGCCTGCGGAGTTTTCTGTTATGCCATTCTACAAAAACAAATATTTGGCAAACAAATCCCGTAAGTATACAACCAATATATCCGAGTAGAAATTTTCCATTTCCGTCCTTCAAGGAAATGGCTAGAAAAATGCTTTGCTTTATCCGCTAAAAAGTTTTTTAATTTCGTGTTCTTAAACAGATGATTTAAAAATAATTCAGAACAAAACTTGCATCTTGTACGTAAATACATAACTTGCATCTTGTACGTGTGCGCTGCGGTGAAAGCGGAAGAATATCGAGATCATTTTTAAACCAGGTTACGGTTTCGTTTTTTATTTTAAAGTACTTAGAAAGTGCTTTTCAAACACTTTTCAGGTGGATGTCTACCCTAAGCGAACCATAAAAAGCTCTTTGTGTATTTTTCAGGTACATAATATTTTCCTTTTTCATAAGAATCTTTTACTCGTTTGAACTAATTGACCCTCGAAGACAGTACAGCCTTTTAATCGAGTTTTGGAATAACGCAATTTAGTCTGGCGGTTAGGTCTAACATCTATGTCAGGCTAAGACGTAACGCATATGATAGTAGGACTTAGTGATTATGCTTTTTTTAATGCAGAAACCGTCGAATGCACTTGGCAATGGCGGCTGCAGACTAGACAGTTTGTCCTATACCGTTTGATGGATAAGCGCCTGATCTGGTGGTAAAAAACAGAAACAGCACAACAATGCCGACCCGTACTTAAAGTCTTAAGCAAACGCCAATTTAAAAAATCTAAGCGGTTTTCGGTTACGGAAGAAAAAAAAATCAAATAACGATAACGATAAAAAACTATCAGAAAAATAATTTATTTTACAATCAAGCAATCGGGATAGCGCTATACCGTATTAGTGCGACCGGTTTGTTAGGGCGCCTACTGATGCACAGTCGGTCTGAGTTGTTAACCTCATCTCCGAGTTAAATGAAAGAGTAACACATGTATAGGAAATACTGATAATGCAAAAATACTTAAAAATAACAATAACTGTAAAATTAGTTTGGTGTTAGAGATTAATGATTATCATTAATCTTTAACACCAAACTTTATTATGCGACGAAAAGTTACTGCAGCATCGCACGCGATGAAAAATTACCAACAGTACGAAAAATGGTTTTTTATAACCTAAACAACGCTTGAGCGTTTAGATTAAAATGGTCGCATACTAATATCTTCCACATTCAGTACGAATGCAGCGCAGTGCACTGTACGACTGAGTTCAAAAAATATCCGTTTCGTACAAGACACTGCACCGCTATGTACAGAATGCTGGGTATCGGGGGCTATGCGACCATTTAGTCCTACATTGTACTCTATCTGTATGTCGGGCAGTTATGAGAGAAAATGCAGTAAAATGTGGGTGATCGTTTGTGCGGATCCGATGCAAGGCGTAAGGTTTTGAATAAGACCAACGATTTTTAGCGTTTTCTCGTTTTTAAAATTTTCGATCATTTTAAGATTTGTTTTATTGGAAATGGCAATTCTCATCACGCTGACAACTCCTTTGGCTATTCTCATCACCTTTCACCGCATCTTGGCTCTGCGCGCCACCTTTTTCAAAATTTTTTTTATACCGCCATTGGCTGTTGTCACCATCTTTTTACACCCCTTCTGCCTATTCCCACCACATTATACATTTTTGTATGTTATGTATTTTTAAACTTTATTGTTACGAAAATCTTTGTTTTTACAGAAATTAAAACTAGTAATAATGTATTACTGGTATTATAACTGGTAACTCGTAACTGGACACTGGTATTATAACATGGGTAATGCGTTGATTACTTAGCTCTAGAAGCCGGTTTCAGGTTTGCTAGCCAGCTGTCGCCTGGCGGTGTTTAGAAGTATCAGCAGAATTAACGTCAAAGTGATTTCGCGGCCGAAATCATCAATATTCAGAATGTCCCGCTTTAATGATTAACTTTTTGTCAACTCATAAAGATCCACTTTTTGTCAGATAAAAATCAACCTCTTAAAGCGGGATTTAACTGTTAGGGATGCACCTGGATGGTTAAATCTGTCTGAGTGGCGATGTGGTGGTGGTGGTATGTTAACGTTTGTTAACACCTGACCAGTAATGGTCTGAATCTGGGTGTAAATTCTTAAAGCACATAAAAAAAACCCATGATCATGGACCTGGGCAGCGCTACTGTCACTTGCATTATGGAAAACGAAAGACTATAACTGTAAACTCATAGTATTATCTTACTGAGGTACTACAATCGCAAAAATGTGAGAAAGTTGACTGATTTTAAAAATGGTTTGCAACGATTTTACTGATAATGGCATTTTCCACGACGCAACTGCTTATACCGTTACTGCCGCAGAAAAAAAAATTCAAAATCAGTAACAAATCGCAGCTCATAAAAATTATTAGCTCATAAAAATTAATAGCGGTTTTACATCAAGTTGTCCAAGGATTCACTATAAGCGTCATAGTATTCCCATGAGTTTAGGACTGTACTTGCTAGCCGCGAATTTAGCCGATATGGGCCGATGTGTTAAAGCGCAGCATCGGGCAGGTGGACCTCAAAATCAGAACGTGGGAGTCTGAAAATATTGAATGCGCTTTCTGGGCGATAAAATATATGTTTCGAAAAGTCTTTGACTCTAGAAAATTATCGTACGATAGTAACTGCATTCTCAAGCACTGTATTTGAAAAATAAAAAAAAAGTACATACACGTATGCACTGTAATATACAAGCTTGTCCGGTAATTTCCTACGTAAAGGTACAAACAGCACATATTTAGCGCTGTGTTTGTCCTATGGCAATTGCCACTACACTACGTCGTAAATTTATGTATTTCGCTGTATTGATTCGTAAGAAATTACCGGACAAGCTTGTACAGTACTGTTACTACTGTATTATTTAAAATAAAAATGGCTGCAGCATGGTAGCCTCAAATCCCGCTTTAATTGCAAATACCTATATGCCACATCACCAAAATGTCATCCAATAATTTTAGCTGGAATTTTCTACTGTGAGCTATTGTTTTTCTGTGACTCAATCACATAACATCTCATCATAAGACCTGAGAGGAAGCTGCGCTACTTGGTTGTCCAGACTGCATGTGACAAACATGCAAAACCTTTGCATGTGACGTTGCTGATCGATGCGCCGTTTTTCCACCAATGGTGGAAAATTATTAATTATTAATTATTTTGTCACGCCGTCTGAGACTTTTGCCGGCATCAGTACAAGCCTAACGATACCGTAATAACTGCAACAAAATTGCTTGATCTGCCAAAAAATTTTCCAAATTGCGCGTCAACCTGTTCGCTTGCTATCGTATGTACCATACGGGCGCTGCTGTTAACACATTACTGCGCACCATTGCGCAGTCTTACAGTAAGCAGGTTTTACCCGTTCATTTATTTTGCGGCAGTTAATGTTCAACGATTTTTAAAAAATTTTCGAGTTACTTTTTGCTAATTTCGTCTGATCTTGGTCTTAATTTTTTCGGAGTTTGCCATTTCTTTTTATCGGATTTCCTCTTTCAGGTACCTCACATCATTTCACGCCATTTTCAAGGGACGGCTTCTACGGTCCACGGGCGAGCCTTTTAAATAAAGGTATGTGCCACTCTGGTAGAAACTGGGTACTTTTTCCATCTGATTACTACGCAATAGGTAAAAAAAATATCAGACCATCAACGCTATAAAGAGCCGGCAGATACGCTAACAGCGAATGCAAAGACAGCATTGTCAAATTAATAATTTTTATTAAAATTCGCGATGTAGCCGGAGAATCTCGATCCACGGCCTCCTTTAAGCAACGTTTGAGTGTGGCTTTTGTCAGAAGAAATGGGGCTGCTGTCTTGGGTTTAGTCTCGATTTAGTCGCCGCTCTATGACAAACTTGGAAACGATAATTAGATAACACAGAAGGACGCATTTGATAAGTTTTGTTTTTTCTCTACCGTGCGGAGACCTTTAATAAGTATAACATGAGGGTACAAATATCTGATGAGTTGTTTCGCAATTGTCCGATAGGCATTCGACAGGATCATCGTCCAGTCGATACAATAAAACTGGCCTATTTTCTAGAATTGCCGACCCGTTATTTGCAGGCAATCGGCAAATGTTTCTTTCAGAAATAATTACCGCTGTGCGTACCTGACCAGGGTCGGGTCAAAAGCTCGCCCCTCAGAAAAATTTTCATTTTTTTAAAGACAAATTAGGCAATGATGGCATTAAGAAAAATATTTTCACCGGCACTATGCAGCCTGTCGATGCTGGTGCGCGCAACACGATTAAACTAAAAAAGGGCGCATAGCATGATCGTGAAAATACGAGTATTAAACTTTTCAGACATTACACAGCTAATAAATCTGTTTCTAAAAAGCACGAAGTTTGAATTTGTGTTGTGCCCTGAAGAACCCGATTGGCTTTATTGGTGCATGGGTGAAATAATTCTGTTGGCACTGGCGCGCAAAAATTACGGTTTCAAGCCCGTCACAAATGGGATGAGGATGGGACCGCAAAGATGAAATTAACTGAAGGTGTGGTAGCCGGGGAGACAGACTGGGCTGGGATTTACACGTTACAGGTGGGGCTGAGATGAAAGCGGAAAAATAAAAATATGAATCAAGTCCGTTTTGGGCCAAAATTGGAGAATTTTCTGGTGGTGAAGCAGAATTTGTCCATTTGCGCACCTTAAGGAGAAGTTCTACTAACAAAAAAGTTTAATATGAGAAAAAATGTAATGCACACAAATTTTCTTCCCTTGCTGACTCCGTTTGGAACAAATTATATTAATTACGAGTAGTTATTTAACACGTAACGAGGATCGTGTGACGGTGACCACAGACAGTGCATTCACGTTGTACAGGGACTACTTATGTAGATCGCTTTAGAAGGCGGAACAAAACCCAAAACTGTTCGGTATGCCAGTTTCTTATTCTCCTCGCTAAGCGTAAAACGCGTGCAAAATGTTTAATGCGAACCTGTGCAGTGTGTCAGGCCTAGGCTCCCTGAATTTTTATCATGCAGTCTACGAGCGTCGGGCACGTCCGTTTTCGATATTAGAAGCTGACGTACAAGGTCTTACTGTGGCGTTACTTTATAAAGATATTCAAACACAGCGATATAGCGCTACGCATATGGGTGGATAAAAACATATATTATGTGACATCATTTTGAAGTCCAGTGTAGGTGTTATGTTATAAAAAAAAATTCTAATACATACACTAATACTAATAGTATTGGTACGTATAATACTTCATAAAATATATTTATCAGAAACAAAATTTGCTACTCGTGTTAATAAAAATCTATTTCTTTTTTTTCCTTTATTCAGGCAGTAGCCAGCTAACATGACGTCAAGCCGGCACTGATCGAGACTAATAAAAGGACTTTCATTTCACAAATTGCAGAAACAACCAAAATCATTGCTGTCATTTCCGACTTTCGGTCGCGTATTTAGAGGCCAAAAATCGAAAACGTACTCTAGTGAATTTGTGCCGATGTATTCGTTACTGCTAATTGACACCATATTAAGGCTTAAGCTGATTGTACAACATTAACCGCTCTGCTGTTACCACTTTTAATTTACGCTCTGTCATTTGCTAAACAAGTGATCAGTTATTCTTTCTGTAGATACTGTTCTGTTGCAAGCATTTCTTACGAGATGTGTAATTTGATTGAACGTTTCTTCCGTACAGTCAAGACTAAATTCATTGTCAGTCTACGTAGTCAAACTACAAATATTGATTGTTATTATGCCTTCCCTGATACTTATAATAAATTAAGCATAAATGGGCTAAGTGACAGTAGGATAAGTTAAGCAACTGCCGTCATTTTACATTACTTGTTTAGTTGTTTTACACTAAGTACTTACTATTTAAAATTGTGATAAATTAGATATGTTATTGCATCTTCTACTTCACTCGTTTTACGCGTACTATACCGGTACCGGTATATACAGTACATAGTTAATATCATTCGTCCGGTGTTTGAATTGACTTCATCCGCGTTATTGTTCGTTCTTCAATTTCGTATACATGGCACAATTGTTTAAACAGTACAGTCAAAGTGATCAGTTGTTCAGAAATCACGAGTACCCATTTATAAGAGCAAGTACCTACACGGAATTAAAATCTGTCAGAAAATAGACATGAACAAAACTTGGTCATATTTTTATGGATTTTTTTGCTTCGTGTATGCTGCGGCTTTTTGTATGACCGCTTTACAGTATTGCTAGATAATGTTTTAATGTAAATTTTAAAGACATCATTCTGTACTCGTAGTTTTATTGTAGAATATTGCAAAAATACCGTATGGTATAAACATTATTTTGATACTGTAACAGACTTGGAAAATGGGGCGTAAAGTGAGTCAGTATTATATCATAATATAATAATTATCGCCGCACTGTATATTATTTGCAGACATTTCCCTTTGACAATGGAGATCCTTGAAATCTCTCAGTTGGATCGTGCCGAAAAGAAATCGGTCGAACAGATAAAAGATCACATGAAGGTGAGCGATGTAGTATTTTCCCCTAATTATGACTGTGGAGGGAGTGATATCTAACCGCTGAATCGCTTAATTTTGCAGAGCAGCTATAATTCACTGGTCCGCATGAAGATGCGTTTGGAACAGACAAAAGCCAAACTCGACGCTATTGAGCATGATCTGGGAAAGACGGCTCCGATGCAGCAGGATCGGGTGGATAACGAAACCTCTTCAGTGGGATGCAATACCTTTATCCGCTGGATCAGACGAACGATTTGTCAGGCTCTGGAAAGCGAGGGGCGTAGAAATCAGCAGCTGATCTTGGAAGTGTCAAACGTGCTTATCATATCTGCCGATGAGCGACTGAAGATAACCAACGACCTCAACATTGTTGGTATCCAAATCCACAACGATGCACGCTGGCTCACGCTAGCTCACGTGCGCATCAGAATACTATTATCAGGTAATGACCAATTCACTATTCAATTGTGCATGTGTTCACACACCACACATTTGTTCTTTTTGATATTTTAAAGAAGCTAATTATCCTTATGTTTTACAAAATTCAAAATACAGAAACTTACGAGAGACAGAATTCTTAATTACCTCGTATATACGAGTCGCGTACTACAAAAGCGTATATGCAGGATGTATGTCGAAAGTCTGCTCTATCGAAGCGTTCACATTCTTCCCGATATCTGTATCTGCGGACTGCAGTCAGCATGCATAGTGCACAAAAACGGGCGTCATGCGTGAAAACCGTTTCTGCATCGAACCAGGATCCCAACATGTTTTGGATATGTTAGAAAAAAGATTTAAAAAATAGTTTGAAATTCTAAAAAATGGTGGAAATCTGGCTTGGTGTAACAACAATCTTCATGCTAGTGTGGGTTTTTATTCAAAATTTGAAGAAAATAAGTTGATAAGTTAATAAGATAATAAGTTAATAATAATAGGTTAATAAGATAATAATAAAGTTATTAAAATAATAAGATGATATAATAAGAAGATAATAACAAGATAATAATAATAAGATAGTAATAGGATAATAATAAGATAATAATAATAATTAGTTAATAAGAAAGTTGATAAGTTTTGGGATTTTGTTTTACCCATTTTACTTTTAGAATTTTATATGCCCCAACCGGGTGTTGGCGTTCAAACAGTTTTCACGCCAAAATATATGCAAATCGTTTGGTTATACGATGCCATAAAGCAATGCAAAAAAGTATTGGAAGTGCGCGGAAGTGAGTTTTCATGCATGTACAAAGTTTGGTACCATGTACCGGTTGTACCGCGTCACATCCCTAAAGACTATATTATAATGGTGCTTTTAACTTGCCTAACTTGAAGGTGTCAAATGTGCCTTTGTGCCGGTGACAATAACAACAGGAGGTGTGGACTGCGGAGTGGTAACAAAAGTCGCACCGAAACAACGAATTCACTTCGAACGAAAAAAATGTTCTTAATCTGGCTTTGGTCAGGATTGTTTTAAAGTAATATGAAATTTAGAGCGAAAGGTTAAAGGATAGCGCAACATAATCTTTCTTTTCGGGTAGGTATCTGTACAGTACCCGTGCCTTAAAAACGTTTTACGTTGCACTAATCACATTCAGTAATCGGTGCATGGTAATTCGTAATCGTAATCCAAAAATCGGTGAATGTTGCTCGATCGCATTCTTTCTTAGCATCATTGAACAAGTTATTTTGTTCTAAAACGTTTCATGAAACTGGAAAACGATGCAGAAAACGGTTGGCAACGTGGTGGTATCGAAAAGGAAAGTTTCTGCCATTTTATACGAATGCGTTGCCTATTTAGCCGCTCCCCTAAGGCTCAACGCGGTTACGAGACTGAATGGACGATGCAAGCGGCATTTCGTTCCATACTAAGCAAATTCTGAAAAGAAAACAATTATAGATTACATAACAGATTATAAATGTAGATTTTAGCCGAAGTGCGAAACGTCTGTGCATTGCGCTGTCCGGAATAGAATCCTGCTTAAAAATAAAATCCAGAAGTACAAGTACAAGCGCCGAAATAATTAGACGCACAGTGGTGATGCAGAGTAATAGTTATGATGCAGAGGCTACAGCTGTACAATTTACCACGTGAAAGTGTAAATATGTACTATCTGTACAGTACAGATTTTTGACAAACAATGTAGTGCAATTTATAACCCCAAACATATTATTTTAATCACACTATTCTTTCTTGCAGAAACGTCTACACTGGATAGCACCACCATGGTAAACTGGTTTGAAACATTCTCCGGCTCTATTAAGGAGTTGATGATAGAGCAGGCAGCACAAGAGGAGCGCGTTCGGAAACTTATCAGAGGAAACTAAAGGACTTTCGGTTACGAACGTTTCTGCTCTTTTTATTATTAATATTACAATAGTAGGCTTATACGGTTTTTTTTCTCTGTCTCATCATCGTTTGCACTGTGTTTTGCTGCCAGTTATTTCATTTCGGGCATTCTTAACATATAAATTATTGTTGTGCTTGTGCATATTCTTGCATTAGACTTTGCGGCCTGTTTATTTTGTTCCATGAATGCTTGACTTTTGCCTTTGACAGTGTTCATCAGATGATTCATACATTAATTTTAAATGATGTGTTCGTGTAAATTGTGATTACTTTAATATTACATTCAGCGGCCCATGTACAAAATCGCAAAAAAATCTACAGTTGCTCTGTTTTGAGGCACTTCTGCTGGTGAAAGTGTTTAGCTGCGAGAGTTACCTGTTTTAAATTTATTGATACGTTATAAACTCCACTAGCGTTATGTGCTGCCCCAGGCACTGTACGTAGCTAAGTCTAACGTAGAAATCCCGATGTGGGTTTTGAGGCTTTATTTACGAAACACAATTCAAGTGACTGCTAGATGACTTCCAGTGGACTAAACTAGAGTGGACCATCTATCATTAGCAAGCTTATATAGCCACATTTGGGTAAACATCCACATTAAGAAACTTCTGGAAACTTTCAAAGCCTTAGATCACTCAATAACAACATTAAAGCGGCATAACAAGTGTCAAAGACCGCTCACTCAAGGCGGTAGACACCTCTTGTGGCTTGCTCTGTCGCCCGCACGCAGGTGGCCACGCCACTCGTGCCGCTAATATACGCTGATTACTCAGCGTATACTTTGTCTACGCTGACCAATCAGCGCACTCGCATGCACTCGTGTAGGTGTGGACTAGCGCTACGAGCGATTCCGTGCTTTGCGTCATCAGCTGTTACGCAGCTGCAGCACGCCGCTTCGTTTCGTTGATTTCTCATGAGCTAGCTGACAGCTACTTTTTCCACAGTGATTCCGCATTGGGTTTCTGCTGGTTTTGTGGTTGCTTTATTGTTACACAATAAAGGAGATCGTTCCCTTTTCATCCCTGCTTCCGTGTCGTTCTGACATGGTGCAGCTACGTTCGGTTTTCTTTCTTCGAACCTCTGATCCCCCAGTGGAGGCAATTTTCGGTCGAAGGAACCAGCAGCGACTAAAAGTAGTCCTGTGTCCCGCGACCTAGAAGTGGTCGCCACTCATCTTCCTGCATCATGCAGGCTTCATTGGAAGCCTGCAGCGCGACGGGTTCCCATATATGGGAGTGCGCATAAAAGCAGGTGCCCCACGACTTGGCTCACCGACTCAAAAACAGAGCGGAAACGATACAGACCCAATTGGCGCACCTACGCGCGATCCAGAGCCAACGTTCCGGTCCAGACCAGACCAAAGAAATTTTCTAAGTCACAACACCACGGGCCAAACTCACAGCGCCTTGGCCAAGGTGATGCTTTACACCAGCCATGACCAGCTCCAACATAGACTGTTCAGTCCTATGGACGGGCGCCGAACCAATGATTACGCCAAGCCTGTGGGTAAGAACTACTCAAGGCACGGCGGGGCCATACACGCCGGAAGTGCTGACTCTGACCCGGACCAGCCAAACTCGACCGGCTCAACAAGTTCGGTCGAGGCCAAAGAAAGGCGGGACAAACAAATCCTGCCACCTGACTTGGACACAAGTGGGGAATGCCTCGACGCCACCCAGGACGACACTTTTTTAGAGGCAAGCGAGGCACTGTCAGAGGCCAACTCGCCTAAGGACAGCCAACCTGGCGCGATAGGTCGGCCCAGGCCAACAGTGTCGCTCAGGACTTGGCACACCAACCGGCCATACCTGGTTCGGGCCAAGTCCAACTTGAGGCACCAACGGTGACCACAAGTGCGGACAAGACACGACATAGTGGACCCGGTGCCGAGAACTTGGCACGGGCCAACCTTGTGACCCAGGATCTAACAGCAAGTCCAACCCTACCGGGCCCGGACCAGATCCAACCTGAGGCACCAACAGTGATTAAAGGTGGGCGCAAGGCGCAGGACCAAGGCCAAAAGCCTGGTCCAAAGGCACATGACCAGGGCCAACCACCCAAGAGCAGTCGCCAATCATGTTCGAAGCGAATGGCTCGAACCACCCAACGCCATCACCAACGGATGACATCACGGACGCGACTGGCCGGACCAAACAGGACCCGGACTTTCCACCATTGGACCTGGGACATTTGACCAGGACCACAATGAGGACTGACCTGAACCAGTCAGCCCTCGACATGAGTCGCGCCGCATTCTGCCCAGCCAAGCTGATTCAGGCAACCCCGCCCGAGGACATCAAAACATTTAAGTCCTCAGGACCAGAGTGCGAGACTTGACTAAGCAGCTTGTCGCCGCCCATGAAATCGCCCTCTCGGCTGAACCGCTGATGAAAGAAGAAATCGACAACTACAAGAACCTCGCATCCAAAGCGGATGCAGAGGCCAAACGTGCCTTGGCCCTACAGGCCCAGAACCAACTTGAGTTGACCAAACTCAAGTTGGCCCCGTGTCCTGACGCTGAGCGAGACCAGCTCAACAAGGAAATATATCGCCTACAAGTGGCGGTGGCGGGACTTGAGTTTATACTCGCCTCAACGAGGACCTAGTTGGCCCAGGCCAGGACTAACCTGACCCAAGCCAGGGCCACTGTTGACGAAACTGATGAAGAGACGGACCGTCTCAAGACAGAGAATGATCGCTTAAACGACGATCCAACCAACCTGCAGGACGAGATCAACCGCCTGCGGAATGGATGCAATATGCTGCACCACAACTATCAAACTCTGCTGCAAGCGAGCAGTTAAGTTGGACCAAACGATCCGACACATGGAAGCACAGATTGTGCAACTCCAGCAGCAGAATGCTGCCCTCCAGGAACAGCTCAAAACTGAATCAACGATTCGAGTCCAACTCGAGCAAAACAGCACCGTTGGACAACAGAGTTTTGTCCGACTGCGACAGGCCTTCGCCCAAGCTAAACTAGTGATCCAAGGCCAACATGACCGGATCATTACCTTGGAGGCCAACAACGCCGGACTGGTCAAGGACTACCAATCGGTCACCCAACGCATTACTGAACTCAACGAGGACCTGGAAAGGCTAAGCACGGAAAACGCCTGCTTAGATGCGAAAAAATCACACCTCGAGAATTTACATTCCGAGATGTCCGCAGAGCCACCTTCTTACCACACCTTTCCGGACTCGGATACACAACGCCGACAAGCCAAAGTCGACGAGGCGCTGCGGCAGGACCAACGGTTCTACCAGCAGCCTGTGTATCATCAGCAGCGTTATCTTGTTTACCTACTCCGAACGGAGCCGTCAATGGGACAACCGCCTCTAGGGCCGACCATACCGGCGCCCTCGAGCCCCGTGAACCAGGGATCTTTAACGGCGACACCAAACATACCGCCATAACCGATCCCGACTACCACCTCAGCCACCATGGGTCCAACGATCGTAGTGACGCCCGCCACACAGACTTAACCGTCTGTGTTAAGCGGGCCATTCAACTTTGGTCCGAGCCAGCCGACGTCTCAGAACCAGACGCCGAGCCACGGATGTTTCGGGTCAACCCCTATGTTCCCATCCCTGTTTCCGAACCTGGGCCCATACACAATCCCAGGGCAGACCGCAACCGGTGGTGCTGATCCAAACCGGACCAGCCAGCCGAGCCTACTGTTCCAGTTCGAATCACCAGCACAGGGACAGATAGGAGGCCAAAGTGGCACAACAACGATGCAAATGCCACTCATAGGCCAACTTAGCTTAACTGGCCCTCCTGTCTCATCGGCAGCCCAAACGGGCCAAGCCCAGCCACAACCGGGCCAAAGCGCGCCCCCGGGCCAGAACGGACCCACGGGCCAGCCTCAGGGACCGAATGTGCCCCACCTACCCAGCGCGCCACCAACAGCGGCAACGCCGCCCGGACCTGCTGCCTAGCCAAACCGGGGCCAGAATTTGCCCATGCTGGTCCAGCTATCTAATGGGACATACGGATGGATGGCGTCCAACGGAGCCATGGAATACCCGCCTGGCCCAGTGTCACAGGTGCTGCAGCCACCACTACAAGTTGTGGTACGGCAGATAACGCCTGCACCGTCACCAAGGGCCAGCCCACCATTGACTAACTTGGAGGCCATCGACCGATACGCGAAAGCCAGCGCAAAGGCCATCAACTGTACCACTCTGCCATCATATGACGGCGACAAGACAGGCGTGGGGGATGGATTTCACAGAACAGAAGGATCTGTAAACAGTCGTCCGACTTAAACAAGCCGGACCCCGACTTCAAAAGCGGTATACGGGCCAAGCCAACCGAGAAGAAGGCGACGGTTGGACGGTCGAAGAAATGCTCCAGAAGTTCAAAGAGCGATATGGCGATGAGAATCAGCAAGCCACGCTTTGGGCGGAATCTCGAACCGTATCTACCGATACGGATACGAGACGCCGGAACAATATTACGACACAATCCTGACTCTCCAGATGCGAGCCAACTTGGACGACACCATGACCCTGCACTTTTTGAAAAACAATGTGCATGAGCCTGAACTGCGTCGCGTTCTGGACATCAGATTGCCGAAGACACCGAAAGAATTTCAGGACTATATTCGGCAATTCACGTCGGGAAAACCCCAGTACGACGGGAAACCCGGTAATTCGGGCGGAGGCGGTTACGCCAACAGGAACAACCAGGACAACCCTGACCGGAACTGGTACCTGAACTGGCGCGAACGATATATGAATGGATACCCAACAGGGGCATTAAATCCCAACCGCATCGGCCTGGTGCCACCCAAACAAACCCGACCACAACGTGGTAACGGGGGGAACGGCAACCGTAGGCAGTACACCGGCTCAGGAAGTGGGTTCGGTGGTGGAAACCTTCAAGGCGGCGCAGAAAGATATGACGGGCCACGCGGATTTTAAACACCCGCGACCGAAAGGACCGCCTTACCGCCGCTGACCGACCAGCAGTTGCAGCCCACCAACAATAGTGTTGGCGGCTCTAACCGGGCAAGCCCAGCTGCGGGAAACGCTTAAGGTCAGGGAGTAACGGCAACTCGCCTGACCTATTACCGGAACCAACACCGCCGGATATAACTAACCCCTTGTTAAACTTAATTTAACTGCTAGAAATGCAGTGGATCCGGAACCGGCCGCTCAACGGCCTGCCGGCGGATTCTGGTTTAGCGCCCA